TTCCTCCCTGGCATATCTTCGGGGAGTGCCTTGCCAGGTGACCCACGAAGAGCGGTGGGGTGGTGGGGAAGAGAGAGAAAGAGAGACCTAAAACTAGAAGCCCTGGTGTGGGCAAACCCCTGACCCACGAGCTCCGCTGCTTTGGAGGGAGAAGACTGCCAGGCAGGGAGAGGGCTCCGCTTCTGGACACGTGGGCGCTTTGAGGGGACAGGCAGGACCCAGCCCCTACGAGGCGGGGAGGGTCGTCGTCAGAGTTGCTCCTGTGCCTTCCAGGACCAGGGAGAGAGCTCTGAAGCAGGGCGCTTCTTTGAGCCCCTCATGAGGAATCCCTGCATTCGCCAAGTAGCTGCTGCCGCTCCCACTCCCAGTTGGGCTGAAATTAGAAGCCAGGAAGATTTTGAGAGTGGGTGTGCGTGTTGTGCTTGTGCACATGCGGGCAAGCGTGATGCGCCCAACCATGAGGATGATATGCCCCTCTGCAAGTGATACACACCCCTCCATGAGTGTGACACGCGCACCTGTGAGCATTGGGTGCTCCCGCCCCAACCATTCCATGCACGGAGCCCGCACCCCTCAAATGGTCCGTGGTCCCAAAAAGGTTGGGCGCACGGAGCCCGCACCCCTCAAATGGTCTGTGGTCCCAAAAAGGTTGGGGACTGCTGGTCTAGAGTACTGTAGTTTAAAAAGGATGCCAACAAACGAGCAAATTTAGAAGAGGGCAACAAGGATGATTAGGGGACTGGAAACCAAATCTTATGAGGAAGGACTTGAAAGAAAGGACATGTTTATGCCTGAGAAAACAAGATTGAAGGAAGATATGATAGCACTTTTCAAATACTTGGAAAGGTAGTCATAAAGAGGAGGGGCAGGATCTGTTCTTGATTATCCCAGTGTCCAGGATATGTAATAATGGGCTCAAGCTACAGGAAGACAGATTTAGGCTGAATATCAGGAAAAAAAGTCTTAACTGTTAGAGTAGTATGGCACTGGAACCAGTTACCTCAGGATGTGGTTAGTGCTCCATCGCCAGAGGCATTCAAGAAAAAATTGGGCATCTATCTGTCAGGTCTGCTTTGATTTATATTCCTGAATTGAGCTGGACTTGATGGCCATAGAGGTCTCTTCCAACTCAGTTATCCTATGATTCTATTATTTGCTGATTCTATACCCGGCAAATTTGGGACGAGTTCGGGGGCAGTTTAGGCAGAAGAAGATGGTGGTGACTTTTTATGTTAAACTTTCTGTTGCCAGCAGCAGAATACCTCTGTTAGTTTTTCTAACCTTATTTTTATTGTTTGGTTTAATTGAAGTGTATTATAGTGCTAGCCATAGCTGACTGAAACTAGAGGTGAAATTCAGTTATACCCATGTGAGAATGGAAGAGGGAATAGTATGAGAGTCCTTGGTGGATTTCTAGTGGCTTAACTTGGGCTTTGCTGCCATCCCAAATAATTATTTTGCTTGTCTGTGATTATCAAGCATCTTTTGTTCCATCTTTTGGAATATAGCAAAATTACTTATCAATAATGTATTTATTTTTCCAGCCCTAAGTGTAGGCAAGGATGAGCCTGAAAGAATAAAGCTGTTTAATAAAAGTCTAATGAGTTGCTTAAATAGCTAAAATCCAGATTTGCAGCCCTAACTGATGCGAGTTAAACTGTTTTAATTCTCTAAGAGCCTGGAGAGTTTTGGTTTGGTACCAAAATGAGTTATTTAACAAGACACATCATGTGTTAAAATGCAATATATACTACAAATTCAGACTGTTTCCTCTCAGACATGTATTAAGGGTTTCCTGCACCTTTTGAAAGAAAACTGTGCTGTGTCTTGTTGATATGGGATATGTCTCATTCAAATTCAGTATGGTTATTTGTATTTCCCAATTTATTTCAGAATATGCTTAGGTGTCATCATTTACATATGACCGGGATGAATTTCTCATCTTAAACGGTTACAGTTATTACTGGAACAGGAGTAGCAGCGAGGATACTATTGCTGTCCTCCCTCCCTTCCTCCTTGTTAATTCTACATGCAATATTCTCCTGTGTTGCCTAGATTGTTGGCTCTGACAATACATATATGAACAGTTGTTGTCACTTTACCAGCTATGACTGGATACCCTTTCAGATTTGCTGACACTGGCATTGAGAAGAGATACTTAGAGAAGTCTATCATGCTCAGTTTGTTTCCCGATTCAGAGTGAATAGTTATGCACATATGACTATAAAAAGAATGGAAATTATTATCTTTTGTCTGGCTTTGCAGTAAACTGATGAAATGTGCAAAGTAGAAACAATTTTTTATGAATCTTTGTTGAAAGATGGTTTTCATCTTACTTAAATCTCATGTTATTTTTGCTCCAATTGAAAAATAAAGCTCCTTTAAATTTGTTAAGCAAAAACCCAGGAAAAAAGATTATTTCGGAAAATTCTTTTAAAAGTCAATTAATGTATTTCAAATCTGTTAGCAACTTTAGCATGTTTACAGTTAATTTTGTGAGTTAATGTTCTCACACAAAAAGTTTGATCTAAGGAAATCCTGATTCCTTTAACATTCTCCTTAGAATGATGACCAGGATTCATTGCCAGGATTTAGTTGTACTCTCTGAAACAAGTGTTTGTTATCTTGGAGAGATGTACTTTGATGGCTGTTGGAAAGAAAGTCCTGATTCCAGTAGTACTGAAACATACAATTGCATTTTAGCCTCTGAATATAGTAGCTAGAACTGAAAATATCTTAGAGAAATTTCTTCAGAGCTAACTGGGCATGTAGTAAGTATGTTCAGTCCAAGAGAGTTCAAGATCCAACAACATCTTAGGTACGCTGTCATATGAGATAAACTAAATCCTCTGTAAAAGTGGGTAATGCCTTTTACTTGACCACTTAAAAATCAAACTAATAGCAGCTTTTGTGGGGAAAAATTCACTTCATCAGGCTGAGCACAACTCCCTCATGGACGAAGAAAAACATATTCTAGTGCAAAGTGTCAGCACTGGTCAACAAACAGCCAAGTATATGCGATCCTACTGTATTCTCATGAGATCAAGTTCGAGAATTCTCCAGTAAAACCTGTAAGTGAGCAGGAAGTTGAATCTCGACTTCCAGATTCATCACTGGATGCTACATGACACTGAATAGTGTTGCTGCCCTATTCTCAGCATCTGGATTTTTGTCTGCTTTTTCACGTATACAGCTCTGTTTTCTTCTTGCTTTCCAAACTAAAAACAACCCTAGCACTGAAACCTCCTTGTTTGGTCCTAGGAGAGGGGTGTAAAAATTCCAAATTTGTTGCAAAAAGGCTTGAGATTACAGCCTCAGAGGACTGACATCAACTCTCACATATCTGTTTCACCAATTTTTGGTCTCTTTTGTAGTTTTTTTGCACTGTCCATGAAGGAGTTGTGGTAAGCCTGAAAGAGCAGGATCTTCTCCATAGAAGCTTGCAATTTCTTTGTTTTTTGCTGGTCCAATAAATGGTGTCACCTACTCTTGCATTTGTTAATCTTTTGGGACTACATGGGCTTTTCCTTGTTTTTTTCTTTTTCAATATCATTTGTTGAGAACGCTGCTAGAGTTGAAAATACAAACAAAACCACTTCCATATGTAGAACGTGTGTGTGTGTGTGTGTGTGTGTGTGTGTGTGTGTGTGTGTGTGTGTGTGTGTGTGTGTGTGTGTGTGTGTGTGTGTGTGTGTGTGTGTGTGTG